ACTCTAACTTTTTTCCTTCTATATTTTAAGTTAGACCTCTGGAAATACAGCGGTGAAAGCTGCATTTGATTCCATGTATTTCCTTTCGAGTGATTGCGCGTACATATGTACATACAGACGAACCGACAAAACTCCTAAAAATTCTTTATTTGGCGTCTGTTGCTCTAATAAAGTNAGAGTATCGCAAAACTCTAACTTTTTTCCTTCTATATTTTAAGTTAGACCTCTGGAAATACAGCGGTGAAAGCTGCATTTGATTCCATGTATTTCCTTTCGAGTGATTGCGCGTACATATGTACATACAGACGAACCGACAAAACTCCTAAAAATTCTTTATTTGGCGTCTGTTGCTCTAATAAAGTCTTATATTTTTGAAGGGCATTTTAAAAGCAAGCAAATTGTTGTTGGAGTATTTTTCTCAATTCTTATATTTGATTTTGTTACAAAAAAAGTTCATCTCCCACACAATGCGGCGTGGAACTGTAGGTATTTTTTTCAGCGCGACTGATTGAATCCTGTTGAATTGTACCTTTTTCCACACTAATTAGAAATATTTATAAAAGCAAAACCATTTGAGACAAAAACTTCCTATGCAATTTTATCACACAATCCACTAAAATAGTTTCTATCTATTAAATCACTATTATTACTTTTCAAGAATTAGCCAAATTAAAAAATTCAGTTTCAAATTTAATTTATTTTCTTTACTATCGTTCTGATAAACAAATCAAAATTTCAGTGTTTGCATTCACTTAATCCACTTTTGCCCGTTTTTCTAAAAAAAAAAAAATTAAACACTAATTACGCGTCCGGCTCAATGATTTCATTACGGTGGTAATCCATGTAAGATACTTGTAAACTTTCGTGTAAACTCCGGGATATTTCGGCCGTGCGCAGTCCACACCATATGATACGATGCCATATTGTGTACTTTGACTGGTCAAAGCGCCACCCGAATCACCGTGGCATGTGTCTTGATTTGGTGCAGATGCACATAGTTGATTTTCGCTTACTTGGATTTTACCACTGTAAGCAGCTGCACATGTTTTTCTTTGCTGAAGATACAAATTGACGCCACGTAATTGTCGGGTTGGTTGCACTCCATTTTCGCTGAGGGTTCCCCAGCCACTGACGAAATAAATGTTGGGCTCTGAATTCGATGTTGGCAAAAGAACGGCCTGTACATTGGAATTGAACTTGAATGGTTTAGATGTTCGCAAGAGCGCTATGTCATTACCACTTGTTTTCGGATTGAATGCACCATGATAGGCGACACGATCGACCTTACGCAATTGACCGCCTTGTTTGAAAAAGTTA